CATTTTAAGTTATTCTCCTAATTTATTTTAATGTATTCTTTATTTTAATGCATTTACATTTTTGAAGCATTCTTGCCTTTTCTCTCATTTACTTCTGCAGAGACCCTGCCATAAGGTGCCCATATTTAAGCATACGACCATCGCAAGACAAAAGTCTTGCAATGGTCGTAAGGTGTATGGGCACCTTTACACTGGATTTGTCCCTTTGGAGAGATTTGCCTTCACTACATATTACTCTCTCATTACATCTTCCAAATACAGATACAGCTATAAAAAGTTTATTACACTCTTCTGCACATTTCTCTAGATTGTACACATGGTGTTTGTTAAATAGGCAATTGTTGTTCTCTTGAAACCATGTAAATACTTCTCCTCATTGTGTTGTCAGAAGACACTGTGACACATAGTCTGTGCCGAGAGCAGAGTCGGGGGTTGGGACCCAGTGGACCCACACAGTACAGGCTGACTGCAGAAAACTACAGGAGGGGACCAGTCACCCTGCACAAGGAGAGAGAGAGAGAGAGAGACGCAGGGACTGGTCTTTTTTTAATAGGAAGCTTCTGTACAAAGGCAAGGTTTCACACTGGATTACTGAAGAGATCTGGATGACGTACACAAAACACACCAAACTACAAGTAGGAATACGCATGCTGCTTATATTTAGACAATATTTGCTGTTCCTAGGGTTTAGCTTAAAATGCACTGTGCAAATAAATAGGGCTGCATTAAAATAGGGGCTACTGGAGCGTAAGCTCCAAGCCCACCACTGAAAATAGGCCCAGCTGGCCCGGATTGCCTCAGTATGCCCGATGGCAATCTGGGCTGGCTGGACTGAACATAGGGTTACCACCTGTCTGGGATTCACCTGGATAGCCTTGGTTAAAGTTCTGTATGTGCTGTGTCCGGGTTTCAGGCCAGCTGAAGTCTCTCTTCTCTCTCTCTGGGCTGTCTCTTTTCTCTTCCGCCTGGCTGTCTCTCCTTGCTCTGTCCCCTGGCTGTCTCTCCTCGCTCTCTCTCCTGGCTGTCTCTGCATGCTCTCTCCCCTAACTGCCTCTCCTTGCTCTCTCTCCTGGATGCCTCTCCTTGCTCTCTTCACAGGCTGTCTCTCCTTGCTCTCTCTCCTCATTCTCACTCCTTGCTCTCTCTCTTGGCTGTTTCTCCTCGCTTATCCTCCTGGCTGTCTCTCCTCACTCTCTCCCATGGCTGTCTATCCTCGTTTTCTCCCATAGCTGTCTCTCCTCACTCTCTCTCCTGGCTGTCTCTCCTTGCTCTCTCCCCTGGCTGTCTCTCCTCGCCTCTCACTCCTGGCTGTCTCTCCTCACGGTCTCTCCATGCTCTCTCCTGTATATTTTCAAAAAAAGTTGCGGTTTGGCGCTAGAGTATTCAGGTTTCGCTTGAAGAAGAGGTGGCAACCCTACCTGAACACAATCAGGCAGAGGAGCATGTGGCTCTCTAATTAGGCATATGAGGCCCCAGGGAGGAGTGAGTGGCCGCCTAGTTAGAGATCCACCTCTGCTGCTTCTCATCTGACAGCACCAGGCCCATGATGCTCTTAATCCAGCCCTGCAATTAGCTGTTAAGACATGACTTGTACTTAGTTAAACAGACAACCAAACTGGAAGCAACACAAACTTACAAATAGGTGGAAAAGTTTTCAGCACATACATTATTGATATTTGCATGCTCATGTCAAATTTCAGTAATATGACTGCCACTAAAAAATATAAAATAAAGCAAGCCAGCATTGTTACCTACAGTGGTTAAGTGCAATTTGAGTATACACTAAGCTGGCATCAATTTGCTTTCAGACTGCTTGGCAAAGTACATGGATTTCTTTTACCTATGTTTTACTACTTAAAATATATATTGAGGTTCTCAGTAAAGTAATTTCTAATAGCCAGTAAGTGTTCACAATGCCTCAGACAAGCTCAAAAAAAGTATGATAGCATTCATAAATATTATTACACAAGCAGACAATCTGCTTTACATTTTCTTCTGAGTTATGTTTTCCAGTTTCATAATTCAAAATGTAAAAGATCAGATCCCTAGAAGTGTAGGTTAGGAAGGTTGTAGGTTGTTAGGAACTGATGACATGCCTATAACTGTCCTATATAACTGGCATCAAAGCCATTTTGTAATTTAATGTTTTTATAAAGACCTTTTGATTTCAGTCAGATGACAGTTACAGTAAAATTCAAATATTTCCTTTCATTATATCATAGTATCAAACTGCATTTTGGAGTAAATCTGATCAACTTTCTCATGTAGATGGGCCTCTTACTTCCACAACACTGCACTGTGTTTATTTACATACTCCCCATTGTACAAGTGTGCCATCCCTAACAGTTTCCCATATGAGAGCAGAAATGAAGGGCTATTAAAGTAAAAGCTTCTACTAAACCAACGCTCCAAAAATTAATCCTGATATTTTCATTTTCGGAGGTTGTGTTCAATAGATAGTTGACTGTGTTAGGGATTAAAACCTTTTGTGACCAGGGGTCACTGATGCCTTCATACTCTGGCCAAATTTGGCAGTGCCAGCATGTGTTAATTAATTTAGCAATAACTTTAGGACTAATTTGTGTACCTACATAATTTGTATACATATTTTAAAGGTGACATATAAGGTTTTTATTTGGTACATTGCGTTCATTTAAAAAGATGCTCTCTTTATACTATAGGCTGCATATGTGAAATAATGTGATTTAAAAAATGTGATTTATTATATTTTAAATTGTTGAGAAATATTGGATACTAATAAATACATGGCACTGAAGATTTAAGTAACACTAAATGTAGGATTTAAATCTTAAAAATTTATTCAAGTAGATTAACTATTAACAATACTAGATCTTATTTGCTTATCACTCAGCTGTTCATCCTCAAATTATCTCTGAATTCATGCTTATACTGTCCTTTCTTTTGGAGGGTGGCTACTTTTGTTCCCCATGGTCCCTGTGTGTGGTGTAAAGTAGCCACTGCTTCAAGCTCATCCACGATGGACTACAATCTTGATATGATCTTGATCCAAATTAGTAAACATTGTGTGAGATTATAGGAGTGAGCTTAGAGTGAAGGCTCACGGGAGTGAGCTTAGAGTGAAGGCTACTTTACAACACACACAAGGACCATGGGGAACAAAAGTAGCCACCCTCCAGATCGAAGGACAGTTTTCGGGATGAATTCGGAGATGATTTGAGGATCTACAGCTAAGTGATGCACAAATAAGGTCCAGTATTGTTAACAGTATGGGTACTTAATTTTTCAGATTTAACTCCTGAATTTAGTGTCACTGGTGCTACCAGAAGGTGGCAGTGTTCATCTAGGGTAGGGGCTTATCCTGTCAATGGAGCCTCTAGCCTGCATGCAATCAGAGCTAATATAGTGATTACAGGATCGGCAAATTAACCTGAT